GACTGCTTTCTCCGGCCATTGCTAACACTGTTACCAGCAACTGATAGACATCCTCTTTCTGAGACTCAATTATTACCAAGATTTCTCGTCCATTTTCCATTATGTTTAGGAAGCTGTTCTCTTCAGCGATGGACTGTGCGTGTACACCTTCTTCATCCTTTTTTTTTTCATCGGGAGCATGCTGTGTCATTTGTAACCACTGCTCATTGATTCCTTCTAGAATAGTGGCTGCAGAGCTTATTGACCGTTAAGGACATTGCAGTTCACTACGCAGTCTTTCGTAGTGCTCAGTTCTTTCTTCGCAAGTGGCCATTTCTTCAGACTCCGTTACTCGTGGTACTTCGGTCAAGTACTTCTGCAATCGCCATTTGGCTGGGCCAGCTGAGGGTCTTAAAGAGCCCAAGATTTCTTCTTTCTTCTCAACCTGATTCTTCTTTTTGTTTACTCTCAGTTGCTGGCAACAGTGTTAGCAATGGCCGGAGAAAGCGGTCCCGGCTCGTGGCACCGTGTGGTAAAAACACAAGTTTCTTTCGACCTTGAATCTTTTTGGAGTTTCCTATTATTATTATAATTAACCTCAATTACTCTTGTCATCTAGAGGTAACAATAGGTATATTTATGCAGCAGCAATAAAAATAAGAGAGCGGTGGAAGGTAAGGTCTGATGTTAGCGGGCGACACTCCGATGTTGGCAGACAGCGTCCTGATGTTGGTAGACGGCGTCTGGTCAGTACGAAAACAAATGCTGACACTAAAAATTTGCCGGAAAAATCGGCTACTAAGCCCATCTGGAGCTCCGCCTCGCTCCAGCTGGGTCCAGTTTACAAAGAGAGCAGCACACATGATTGGTGTTCTGAATATCGAAAAGAAATAGTACCTGTGGTGCCACTGGTATGACAGATAATGTATATGCTTGATGGCGATGGTGGCGTTACCGGTTTCAGGTACGATTCGCCCAGATACAGCACATATTCCCAGTCATAAATCTTGAAATAGAGAGCTTTTTAGATCTGCTAATCGATACTGTTATCAGCTAAGATGCTTATGGAACGTGGGATCCAGCACTCGAAATGCTTGAGCTTCACATACATTTTCAAAAGCACAATGTTCATTTCGACAAGAACTGTTGATGTCCAGGATAGAATTAATTGTAGCGATAATTCTTCGGGGCACATTCTATCTCTGTATACACGCGAAAATCAACTGGCAGATGCGAGCTACTTGCAAAAGCCTTCCATTTTGATGGTAAATCGTGATGTTTTCAATACATGCCACGCAAGTCTTACTTCACTACGGAAATTTTAGGACTAATACGTATTATTTGCAAAAAAGACTGATTAAAAAAAAAAAAAACCGCATATCAACTTAGAAAATGTGTCGAGAAATCCAAATCCCTAGCCTCATACATTTTCAGTCTCGAAAATTTGTAAATTTTTTTGAACATATTTCAACAAGTACGGTGAACGCCTTTTTAAATCACTGGCAACGCGCACCAAATGGGCCCATGCGATCATCCGTTTTTGCGGTATTGTAAGCTGTAGTAAGATCGCTTGCAACCCAATAGCTAGAATTTGTGGTATACTGTTCCTCTAAGTTTAAGAATTATGCAATTGTGTAGTACTTGGACAGGAAACATCCCCTTAAAATTTCAGCCTCCCAGCTTTTCTGGTCTCCGAGTTAACGACTCTTCCCGCCAAAAATTTTCACGAGGCTGTTCGCGAGGCCCAGACGTGCGTGAGGGTTGGTTCCACTGTCCTGGAATGGCACTTGGCCGGGGAACCAGCTGGCAAAATCTTTGCTCCGGAGCTTGCTTGGTAGTCGAGTTGAAACACCCAGACAGACGCACACACACACACACACGTATAACACACACACCAGGGTCGTCACAATATGCATTTTTGCATTTGCATATATGTAAAAACGCATAATGAATGTATACTTTTTTGCTTCTGAAAAGAAAGACGAAAAAAAAGACCTGGCTGGAGCGCACCAAGCTTGCCGCTGCGATCATGTGTTTTTGCACTAAACTCGCAGGTCGCATAGCCGGAATGATCCCTGCGCTATAGCTAACACTTTGACTCATATTGGCCATGCTTTGGCCCCTTCCGGCATGTAAGAGAAACGGCCCCCAGGCATATGTGGTTCTCAGGTAAGACCCCGTGAGAGTTTTTGGTGGAAAAATGGCTAACTCAAGAACT